TAAAAACTACATCTCTCTGAAGACTAGATCGAAAAAAAAAAAAAAAAAACTACAGCAATAAAAATACAAAATTAAAAAAATTTAGTGTTAACTATTTACATAGTATTTACAAGATATTCTGTATTAAATAAGTAATCTAAAGATGATTTAAAGTATATGGGAGAATACCCCTAGGTTCTTACCATTTTAGGTCAGGGACTTAAGCATCATTTGATTTTTGTATCCTTGGGGGGTCCTGGAACCTATTCCCCATGAATAGGAAGGGATGATATTTTGGTCCCACTGTTGCTGAATCAATTTGGATCAGGACAGAGACATCGCCATTGACTCTGGCCATATGTCATTGGAGACTTTGATAAAACCAGATTTTATTTGTTTACTTATTTAAAATCGAAATGGGATCTCACTCCATTGCCCAGGCCAGGTGTCCCCAAACTACGGCCCGCGGGCCGCATGCGGCCCCCTGAGGCTGTTTATCCGGCCCCCCGCCGCACTTCAGGAAGGGGCACCTCTTTCATTGGTGGTCAGTGAGAGGAGCACAGTATGTGGAGGCCCTCCAACGGTCTGAGGGACAGTGAACTGGCCCCCTGTGTAAAAAGTTTGGGGACGCCTGGCCCGAGCTGTTCTCGAACTCCTGGGCTCAAGCCGTCCTTCCATCTTGACCTTCCTAAGTGCTTGGATTACATGCATGAGCCACCGTGCCTGACCTGGCAAAACCAGATTTTGAAGGATTGAGAAAGATTTACAAAGTAAGGAATGGAGACAGAAGGTGTTTTAAACTTTTCCGGGCCAGCTGCAGTGGCTCATGCCTATAATCCCAGCACCTTGGGAGGCTGAGATGGGCGGATCACAAGGTCAGGGTTTCGAGACCATCCTGGCTAACACGGTAAAACCCCGTCTCTGCTAAAAAATGCAAAAATTAGCCGGGCTTGGTGGCACACGCTTGTAGTCCCAGCTACTTGGAAGGCTGAGGCAGGAGAATCGCTTGAACTCAGGAGGCGGAGGTTGCAGTGAGCTGAGATTGCGCCACTGCACTCCAGCCTGGGCAACAGCGACTCCATCTCAAAAAAAAAAAGAACTTTTCTAAGATTTTGGCTGTGCTGTGAAGGAAAAATTACACAGATGGGTGTAAGAGTTACAGTGAGAGTTATTTTAGAAAAACTGCCTAATTTTAAAAATTATTCATTTTAGTTTTTATAAGTAGTATGTCCATATGGTTTAATAATCATTACAGAAGCAATTATTTGCTGCATTTCTTACCTCCAGCAATGAGCCATTTTAACTTTGTGGCTGATTCTTCTATATGACTAGATATGCTTATACTGCCATTCTTTTTTTTTTTCCTTTATTACCTTCCACATGTATTTTTTTTTTTTTTTTTTTTTTGAGATAGTGTCTCACGCTGCTGTCCTGGCTGGAGTGCAGTGGCATGATCTCAGCTCTCTGCAACCTCTACCTTCCAGGCTCAAGCAATCCTCCTACCTTGGCTTCACGAGTAGCTAGGACTATAGGTGCATGCCACCATGTACAGCTAATTTTTGAAATTTTTTTTTTTTTCTTTTTTTTTTTGAGATGAGGTCTCATTGTATTACCCAGGCTGGTCTGTAACTCCTGGGCTCAAGTAATTCTCCCGCCTTGGCCTCCCAAAGTGTTGGGATTACAGGCTAACTGCCACAGATGTGAAATACAGTGGTTCCATCAAAACAGGTCAGGTTCAGATACTGAAGCATTTCCCAAAGCTTTTAGTTATAGAGGATTTTTTTTCTTTTTAAGACAGTCTTGCTCTCTTACCCAGGCTGGAGTGCAGTGGCATGATCTCGGCTTACTGCAACCTCAAGTGATCTGGACTCAAGTGATCCTCCACCTCAGCCTCCCAACTTGCTGGGACTACAGGTACATGCCACCACTCCCAGCTAATTTCTTGGTATTTTTTTCAGATTCAGGGTTTTGCCACGTTGCCCAGGCTGGTCTTGAACTGCTGAGCTCAAGTGATCCACCTGCCTCAGCCTCCCAGTGTTGGGATTACAGGTGTGAACCATTGCACTTGGCAATTTCTTAATTAGCCATGTTGGACAAAGCCCATGTGTATCCTTCTGGCCACTGAGGTTATTTTCTGTCATCAAGGAATTATCTGGGAAAGGTGCCACTAGCTTTGTAAGCCAGTCTCACTGCAGTCAGAGCCCATGTAGTTTTGTAGTGCTGCTTTAAGAAATCACCACAAACTTAGCAGTTTAAAATACTGATTTATTCCTACAGTTCTGGAGATCAGAAATCTAAAATCAAGGTGTTGGCAGGGCTTTTCCTTCAGGAGGCTCCAGGGAAGAATATATTTCCTTACCTTTTCTAACTTCTAGAAGCCACCTGCATTCCTTGGCTTGCAGCCCTTCTTCACTTCACTCCAACCTCTTGCTCTTGTCGTTACATCTCCTACTGTGGTCACATCTCCCTCTGCCTCCCTATTATAAGAACACTGATGATTTCATTTAGGGTCTATTCTGATCATCCACATTAATCTTCCTATCTCAAGATCCTTAATCTCATTTGCAAAGTCCTTTTGCTATCTAAGGTAAAATTCACAGGTTCCAGGGATTAGGAGGTGGACATCTTGGAGGACCATTCAGCCTACCACAGCCCCACATATGTTTCTGTGCACTGCCTTGGTGAAGAGTGATAGGAGAGAGCATCCAGCAGGGCTACAAGGTTTCAGAGTGTTCCTAAATTAAAATCTTGTAGGCAGATTCAGCTCTGTAACTACTGTGGTAACTGAGACCATCATAACTGGCCTCATTGCCATTAGCTCCATATCCCTCACTCCCAACATTGCTTCCTTTAAAATGCTCTCTAGCACTGAAGCTGGACTCCTTATGACTTCATCATCCTGAGAAACAAGCTATCAGAGATAGTAAGATGCATGTTTTCTACCAGGTGAGATGGTTTTTCTCATAAGCCTCTGGTCTCACAAGTGCAGTTGTGGTCTGCAGCATGCTCACACAGTATAATACCAACTTATTTTTCTTTATCACTCTAAATTCTGCAAAATACCTTCACATCCTTTAGCTCATTTGGGCATAGGAAAAGGAAGGTGGTGTTATTTCAGTTGTACAGATGAGTAAACTGTGGCTGTAAGGCAGAGAATGGATTAGAGGGTAGATGACTTTAATATAGGAACCCCCAACCAGGCACCAGCCACATGGATGGAATGAAATTTACATGTAATTGATAGAATTTACTGGACTTTGTGAGCATTTCAGTGTGGGGAATATAAGTGAGAAAATCAACTGAGGTCTCTAGCTTGAGCAGTGAATACCACCAAATGAAATAGGACTAGGTTTTGAATGAGAGTAATTAATTTGTTTTTGAGATATGTTGAATCTGATGTACCTAAGATCTAAGGGATATAATTACAAAACAGGAAAAATGCTAGTCTGGAACTGTGGATGTATGGCTACCAATATATTTGGGGACCACAAGTATGTAGGTAGTTGTTAAAATCGTAGGGAAGAACTCACCCCAGGAAAAATATATAGAGAAGGGCTGAATGGAACCCTAAGCACTCAAAATATGGTCTACTGCTGCTTGCCTCAGAATCATCTTGGGGAGCTGTTAAAAACAGATTCCTCGGCCAGCGTCGTAGATCATGCCTATAATCCCAACGCTTCTGGGAGGCCGAGGTGGGTGGATCACCTGAGGTCAGGAGTTCGAGCCCAGCCTGGCCAACATGGTGAAACCCTGTCTCTTAAAAACAAAAACAAAAAACAGATTCCTCATTGTGAATGTACTTAATGTCACAAAATTGTATACTTAAAAAAATATATTAATTTATCTTTTAATTTTTAAAATCCAATTTCTGATGATTCCACATGTTCTGAAAAATTATATTTAAAAACGATTAAAATGGTAAATTTTATGTATATATTACAACAGAATACAAACAAAAAAACCCCAGAAAATAGATTCCTAAGCCCCATTCCAGACTTGAATTACTAAGGTTTTGCTCAAAGGCAGGCCTAGCAAGTCCGGAAGACACCTGAAGAAACCAGGTAAGGTTGAAGGAGCGCCAGGAACTGATATATTCTAAGACTAGCCTAGTCTGATCTTTATAAATAACCCCCAAAAGCAGCCCCTTCCATAACCCATAACCTGGACCACTTTTCCTAGGCCATCTCAATCCAGATATCCTAGCTGACAGCTCCAGAGATTCATTCTCCTAAAGATTTGTTCCAAACAATGGGGAACAGATACTGATTCTTTCAATTACATGCCTTGGACATTTTAGCAAAAACTCCTGCCAGGTTTTGAGGCTGCCTGATTGTTAAGGAGAATGAACATTAATTCTCAATATAAAACCCTTTCAATACCTTTCTTGGTCTTCCTGCCCTCACACCTCACTGCCTCTGAAATCTTAATCTGTTCCTTTCTTTCCCTTTTTCTTTCCTTTCTTTTTTTTATTTTTTGAGACAGTCTTGCTCTTGTCACCCAGGCTGGAGTGCAATGGCACAATCTTGGCTCACGAAACCTCTGTCCCCGGGTGCAAGTAATTCTACTGCCTCAGCCTCTTGAGTAGCTGGAATTACAGGTGCCTTCCACCATGGCTGGCTAATTTTTTTTTTTGGGGAAAGACGGAGTTTCACTCTTGTTACCCAGGCTGGAGTGCAATGGCGCAATCTCGGCTCACCACAACTTGCGCCTCCTGGGTTCAGGCAGTTCTCCTGCCTCAGCCTCCTGAGTAGCTGGGATTACAGGCACGCGCCACCATGCCCAGCTAATGTTTTGTATTTTTAGTAGAGACGGGGTTTCACCATGTTGACCAGGATGGTCTCGATCTCTTGACCTCGTGATCCACCCGCCTCGGCCTCCCAAAGTGCTGGGATTACAGGCTTGAGCCACCGCGCCCGGCCTTTTTTTCTGTATTTCTAGTAGATACAGGGTTTCGCCATGTTGGCCAGGCTGGTCTTGAACTCCTGACCTCATGATCTGCCCGCCTCGGCCTACCAAAGTGCTGGGATTACAGGTGTGAGCCATCGTGCCCGGCCTCTTTCCCTTTTTCTATCAGTGATTCAGGGATTGGATGAGTCTCTGGGGTTTGTTTTGCCCTGAAGAATAGAAGGCTTCTGTCCCAACTGGTGTTGCCAAAGCAACATATTAATTCCATGCCATGATCCTGGGTCAAGATCTGCACAATCTGATTGGTCATATCACCTCGGATGGCAAGGGAGTGGAAGTGGTCAAAATCATGGAGTCCCAGCTTTCGGAGACGCCTTGCAGCTGCCCGGTAACACTTCCAGGGCTGAGGCTCCACAAGGAGGTAGCGGCAGAGGGAGGAAAGATGGGCCAGGAACTCACACAGGCCATGGTCCCCATGGTTCAGATGAATCCACATGGTTATTGACATGCAGAAGCCAATGTCAAAAACTGAACGTCCAAATTGGTTTAAGAAAGAGCTCAAGAGAACCTTCCGGGTCCTCTGATTCATGAAATCCAGGGTGATAAAGGTCAAAGCATCAGGAAAAGGACATTCTTTTTTGGCTCGCTTCACCAGGACTGGATCTATGTCACAGCAGAGGAGACGGAGTTCTCTTGAGGCATCTGAGCAGGTCTCCCCGTCAGGTAGGGAAAGGAAGTGTTTGTACAGAGCCACACTCAGATCCTAGAAGAACCCAAAAGAGCTTTGTCACTGCAGTTCTTAACCAGTAAACAGAAGAGAAATCTGTATCATTCTTCCACAGAGAATGCCACTTACCCCTGGCTGTACAGGATGTGAGGTTCCTAAACCGTAACCTAGAGACTGTGCAAAAAGTTTTCCACAGAGTAGGCTCTCAGTGCCCTCCAGGGGTCACATGCTGTAATGCATCATCCCCATATTTTCCTGACACTGATGACAGATTGGGTTGTGTAGTTGAATGTTACAGCCAAATGGATGCAGCAAAGGTGCCTACAGCAGTATTTCCTGGCTTAAGTAATATGCTGATAAAATCACCCTTTTTCTGGGTATCTCAGACCCTAGGAAGGAGGAAAGGGATCCTGAGGCATAACCAGCGTCCCTTACCAGGAAAGTGAGGAATAGACAAGTACCATCTTATAAAAACCTGCTTCTCAGACTTGTGGTGGGGGAAGTCTGGATTCCAAAGTCCTCATTCAGCCTTCACTACAGCTTCCATTTTACTACCCGTCTTAGGATTCACCACCTCCTTCTGAGACATTCTACTCCTATAACCATCATTGCTAAAAGTCACTGCTGACAACCTTCTAGGCGAACCCAATGATTTGTCATCATTTACCACATTAGCACCTTTTTTACTTTGAAGCCACCATCTCCTTTCTCTATCTTTGAATTCTCTCTCTTTTTTTTTTTTTTTTTTTCGAGACAAAGTCTGGTTCTGTCACCCAGGATGGAGTGCAGTGGCACAATCTCGGCTCACTGCAACCTCTGCCTCCCAGGTTCAAGTGATTCTTCTGCCTCAGCCTCCCAAATAGCTGGGATTACAGGCATGCATCACCACACCTGACTAAGTTTTCTATTTTTAGTAAAAACAAGGTTTCGCCATGTTGGCTGGGTTGGTCTTGAACTCCTGACCTCAGTGATCCACCTGCCTCAGCCTCCCAAAGTGTTGGGACTATAGGAATGAGCCACTGTACCTGCCCTCTAACTTTGATTTCTATAACCATTATAACTAACTCAAATTTGCGTTTTTCCACATAGTATTTGCAAGGCATTTTTCTATTTACTACTTTATTTGCTTGGTGTAACAAGCATGTGAGGAAAATTTATTTATGCCTTTTGTGCAGGTGAAGAAAATGCAGTGGAAATCAACCAGATGTCCAATGATAGAGGCATGGACAAATAAATGTAGTATAATCGTAAAGATATGCACTGAAACCAAACCATTTTTATGTGCAAAAAAAGAAAAAAAAATCATCAAGACAGAATACTAAATAGCAGTTAAAAATGAAGGTGCTCAGCTTAGTGCACAACATAGATGATTGTCACAAACACATAATGTTGAGAAATAAAGCAAGCCATAAAAGAAAATATATGCCAAGCATCCACTTACATGAAGCTCAAAAATGGGTGAAATTAAAGTACATTAGGGAAGAAAAACAGTACACTATAAAGAAAAGCAAGGAAATAATAGAAGGCTAGTTGTTACCTCTGGGTAGAGATAGGGGTTTATGAACAGGAAAAGGCATATAGGGGAACTTGTGGAGTGCTGAAAATGTTTATTCTTTTTTTTTTTTTTTGGACACAGGGTCTTACTCTGTTTCCCAGGCTAGAGTGCAGGAGTGCGATCATGGCTCACTGCAACCCTGACTTCCTAGGCTCCAGAGATATTCCTACCTCAGCCTCATGAGTAGCTAGAACCACAGGCACACACCACCGTGCCCAGCTAATTTCTGTATTTTTGGCAGAGATGAGATTTTGCCATGTTGCCCAGGCTGGTCTCGAGCTCCTGAGCTCAAGCAGTCCACTAGCGTCAGCCTCCGAAAATGTTGGGATTACAAAGGTCAGCCATTGCGCCCAGTTTTTTGTTGTTTTATGAGCGCCAGGGTCTCACTTTGTCGCTCAGGCTGGGGTATGTGGCACAATCAAGGCTGACTGCAGCCTCGATCTCTTAGGTTCAAGCAATCCTCCTCCCTCGGCTCCCTAAGTAGCTGGGACTACAGATGCCCATCACCACACCTGGCTAACTTTTGGAGAGATGGGGTTTTGCCATGTTGCCCAGGCTGGAGAAGGAGTTTTTAAAATTGAAAAAAATCACCCATAAATTATGGTACATCTATACAATGAAACATTAGGAAGCCACTAAAAAAAGAATGCAGTGATATAAATAATCTCAGAATTAAAAGCTACTAATAGTGTGTTACTATTTGTAAAACTAAAAGGGGAGTATTTCTACATACATAAATGCTGGTATGCACACAGGACTGATACCTAAGGAATCATAAACTGGTGCCACTTTGTGGGGGAAAAGGAGGATTTAGGGTTGGGAGTAGAGACTTAACTTTTTATTAAATATCCCTTTGTATTTCTATTTTTTTTTGTTTTATCAAGCACAAGTATCTTTTTCCCCCCTTTCTCACTACAAAGATCCAGAAGAGAAAGCTTTTTTTCTTTCTTTCTTTTTTTTTTTTGAGGGCAAAACAGAAAGCTCCATAAATATACAGCCAGGTTTGGGAACCACTACCCTAATTAACTGCCAACTATGTCTTTACCTCTCATGTGTATACTACTCTCAACTTTAAATAATCTCTGGTGGTTTGCTAATGCCTTTCGTGAAATCCCAAGCCCTATGCTCAGTCTCTCTTTTCCATTGTTTTTACCCTCTGACTTCCTATATCATCACAGTGGAGAAGTTTTGAGGGGACACTGGATATCCACCCATCTCCTCATTCCAGTCTTTGAAACTGTATCCAAATGTCCCCCTCTTGCTCATAAGCTGGGTCCCACAAGGTCTGCAATCATCCCCCAAGTCTCTTCTGTGAAAGGACGGCAAGACGACAAAATTGTCTGCTGCCCTCCAGATTCTGGACTGGAGTGATGGAGAGGGCGGAAAAAGGGTACTAACTAACTTTTGAAGCATTTGCCATCATAAGTTCAGACTGCCTGCTCCTGTAGAATATCCCAGTGGCTACAAATAGATGTGGGAGAGACATTTCCTTATTTTGCATGTGGTTTGACTATAATCATTATATGTCTAGGAATAGTTTGCAGTAAGAAGAGTGGCAATGCCACCCTTCTCCATTCCCTCAGGCAAAATGTTCTATTTCCTTCTTGATCCTTTCCACTGTACTATGTCAACTCACTTTCTTTTTTTTTTTTTTTTTTTTTTTTTGGCTCACTGCAACCTCTGCTTCCCAGGTTCAAGCGATTCTCCTGCCTCAGCTTCCCAGGTAGCTGGGATTACAGGTGCCCGCCACCACGCCCGGCTAAATTTTTGTATTTTTAGTAGAGACGGGATTTCACCATGTTAGCCAGGCTGGAGTGGAACTCCTGACCTCGTGATCCGCCCGCCTCGGCCTCCTAAAATGCTGCGATTATAGGCATGAGCCACTGCGCCCGGCCAATTCAGTTTTGTTTTTTTAAAAAATAAACATGCAGGCTCCAGGGTTTGTCCTGCACTGTATGGCACACACGAGTCTCAATATCAGGCATGATTCTGTCACCCTTGGCTCTTCTCTCCCAGTAAACCAAACCTAACCCCATGTTCCCAAACGTGTGTGTCTGGAAGCCCCCTCTTCCCAGCCAAGGCGCCAGGCACGCTGGACAGAGGCCACCCTAGATACAGGGACCATCCCCACTTGGGGTCTGGTCCTGAAGGAGAAGTGGGAACGTAGTTGACGAGGACTTATCTCTAAGAGAGATTCCTAAGACAGATGGTGAAACACTGGCGGGCAGGCACCCGCAGCATTGGGTCGGTCAACGCCACGCTTTATACTGGTTTTGGAAAAGTTTCGATGGGTGTGATGCCACGCCCAGGCCAGAACCACAGTGGATGTGGAGGCAGCCAAGCTCTTGGCTACGGATGCTCCAACCCCTTCCCTGTCACTCACCCCGGAGTTACACCCCACGTCCAGCCCCAGAATCGGCTCGTTCTCGGGACTCTGAGGAAAGAGCTGTCGAAGCAGCTCCGGGGGCAGAAGGCGGAGCCGTTGCTCCGGAGGGTGGAAGCGAGAATAATGAGGAAAATTTCCGAACGGGGCGGCCCCAGGTTCCAGAACTCGTGGTTCCTCTTCCGCTGCGGTCTCCTTAACGACCCCTCCAGCAAGTTCCGTGGGCCCCGCCATTAGTCTCTACGCCGCCGCAGGGCCCCGGCGGAACCGGAAGTCAGGAACCTGCGGCCGGCGTGGGCGGTGGCGGTGCCAGCGCGCATGCGCCGAACGGCGAGGGCAGGTGGGTGGAATTCTGTGGTGAATCCGAAAGGCTGGCCTGACCCCATCTCTCTGTGTACCTGGAGTCGGCTAGCGCGTGGCGCTCGCGTTGTAGTATTGAGTCCTCATCTCAACACTTGGAGGGGATTAGCAATATCCACGTTTTACAGGGAGGAAACAAGCTCTGAGGGCTAAGTGTCTTGGCCAAGCTGACAACGTTTGAAACTTGGGCTACTTGACCGAGAACAAGTATAATAGTTTGTTGGGATCTTGGAAATCAAGTTTAGTCCAGTTTCCTTCCTTTCCTGCAAAAAGCGAGACCCGGAGATAACTCACTTGTCTGGGATCAGTGAATCTGGGACTCAGGAACTTCTACCTGGTTCAGGAAAGGGTAGCCAGGAGTTGCAGGTCACTTGCGAAGCCGTTGACTCAGCCCTGTTCCCCAGGGGCAACAGTAGACCATGAGCTCCTTGAGAGGCAAGGACTGTGCCTTAAGAGCCCGCACTTAAAGAGTGCTTACCAGGAACCAGACACCCTTCTAAGCCCCTTACCCAATCCTCCCACTAACGGCATGAGAAAATGTATTATTTTTCCTTTTTTTCTCTCTCTTTTTTTCTTTTTCCTTTTATATAGATGAGGACACTGGGGTACAACAAAGTAACTTGTCCAAGATCTCACAGTTAGACATGATGGTACTAGGATTCAAATCCAGAGTTTGGATCCAGAAGGTGTGCTTGCAACACTGTTATTCTCAGCCTTGAGTCTCCTCTACCTACCATAGGCCTGGCATAAAGATGCTCAACAAACGTTTGTTGAATGAAAACTCAATAGAAGATGCAAGGAGGTGACTAAGGCCAGATCTGTTTGGGGAAAATTTAAGTGGAAGGAAGAAAGGATGCGAACTGAAACAGACATAGTGGAATGGAGTTGGGCAAGATGTGAGCCAGAGATTGGAAATAACAGAGCTGATAAGAAGAGGAACCGAAGGCTCAACTAGGTAGCAGGTTCCAGTCAAAAGCCTGGATGGCCCAGAATATTCAACAAGGTCAACCAAGGGTCAGCAGAGTTGTTCAGGACCTCCACCCCCACCCCTGCCCTTGGCCCACCCATCTTAAAGGGGTCTCCTGCTCTATGAGGCCAGCAGTTTGCTAAACTTAAACGGCACTGAAGCATGGCTCCTGCAAACAGTGCCATCAGGAGTTAAAATAAGCCCTGTTTTCCTCTCAGTTTTTACTTTATATTTTCATCTCTATCTGGCCTGCTGTTTCTCTAGTTTCATTTATTTGAGGATATAAGTTAATAAAAGTCACTCTGGAATTGACTTTTGTATTCTGGACAACTTACAGAAAAGGAGAAAAAGCTGCACCATTTTGACTAATTTTGGTGAGCTGAGCTGAACTTACCCCTTTTTGTCACTAGATGACGCTAGCACGAATAATTAACAATATTCAAGGAGCTGGAATCACCTTGCTTTTGTAAACATTTGTTTGTTTGTTTAAACAGGGCCAGGATAGTGAATGGCAAGAATTCCTGATCCTGGGGTTCCTGCAGAAGCAACGATCGGGCCTGGTAACATTACCAGTGACCTAAAATGCTTGAGAGGTGACCTCATAAAGAGGTGTTTCAATTTGATCTACTCTGGTGACTTTTGTAACCTATGCCCACTTTTCGGAGCTTGAACAGCACAAGTGACTTGACAGTACCAGCCCCAGCACCTCAAATAGCTATAGCAGCACCTAAGAGCTTGCTCTGCGCTTTGGTCAATCCAGTTTTGTGGAGTGTGATGCATAAATAATTCCAAGGGAAGCGGGCAGAAGCGGTGCCCTCTTTAAAGAAAACCCCCCACCAAATTACAAATATAAAGATAGATATAAAAGTGAATATTTATTTATAATGAGAAATCACAACAAATTACAATATTTTTTTTGAGACAGAGTTTCACTCTTGTTGCCCAGGCTGGAGTGCAATGGACACGACCTTCACTCGCCGCAGCCTCTGCCTCCCAGGTTCAAGCGATTCTCTTGCCTCAGCCTCCCAAGTAGCTATAATTACAGGCATGCACTGTGCCCCGCTAATTTTGTATTTTTAGTAAAGATGGGTTTTCTCAATTTTGGTCAGGCTGGTCTTGAACTCCTGACTTCAGGTGATCCACCTGCCTTGGCCTCCCAAAGTGCTGGAATTACAGGTGTGAGCCACTGAGCCCTGTGACAAATTACAAATTTTTAAACGCTGACTACCACAAGCATCACAAAAAATTTCTGTAATAGTTTGATTGATTAGATGCCAGTCACACTTGAATGTTACTTTTTTCTTACATTTTTGGCTGTATACTCTTTGATTGCTTCTTCACATGACAATCACTTGATAATATCATTTTATAGAGAGACTGGGAAGGTAATTCAGTCTTTTTGTAGCATGAGTTGATAGTTTAAAAAAGTTTTCTATTATTTGATAGTCTTTTATTATTTGATAGTTTTAAAAAGTTTCAGGTTCACAAGTTGTTATTGGCAATATCATGTACATTTTTAGGTTTTTTATCAAATTGGGGGAGAATCTTGATTAAATTTCTTTCATTTATTAGCTGGAAGATTTCAGAGCATTTCAAGTTTTCTTGTGCAAGAAATAATCTTAGATCTACTCTTCAAATGGGACTGTATTTGTTAGCCAATTTGTCTTTGAAAACCTCATTATGAATGGTGCATTATAAAATTTTTATGATTTGCATTGATAGCAGTGATTTGTGTCAAGTCAGCCAAAAAATTTAAACATAGGGATTCTGATAAATTGTGTTTTGTACAATTCCCATAAAGAAATAAAAGAATGCATGGTGCATTTATAATTATATATGCTGTGCTATTGAGTTACTGTTATTGCAGACAGGACAAAACTTGTTTTGACTAGTGTTTAATAAGAGGCAAAATCTTCTGCTTATGATTGGAAGAATTTTCTTCAGACTAGCTTCTGACTTCATGTATTTTCAAATCTTGATTCTCCTCCACTCCCACATAACTTTCAGTGCCAGGTGCTGTAGGAGACATTTATATCCTGGTTTGACCTTTGCCCTTGTACCTACATGTCACAATACCAGCTGAGTCAGCTTGGTAGGTGAATAAGAGTACTTCTGGAAGGTATTCCTGTGTCTGGGTTGCGGGTGGTAACTATGCATAGAAGTGTCTGTACGCCATATGAATAGCTATCAAATGAAGTATATTCCCAACTAAACTTCCCTGTAGCTTTTATTTCCCAAAAATGCCTGTGGCCACTTCAGCGTCATCTAACACAAGGAAAATGTGAAGGAGAGGAAGTCGGAGCACAAATAGACAGCAGCCTTAACCAACTGCAGTTAAGATATCTTGCTTTTTCAAATTTTATAAAACAAATGACCTTGTAAACACATTGCAAGGATCTTGGAAAGATCCTGCATGGGAGTGAGGATCCCGAAGCCTGAGCTTCATTAGCTTCATGGTAAATCTATCTCTTCCCTGCACAGGACGTGTACCCAAGCACAGTTAAAAAGAAGAGGTAGGGCCGGGTGCAGTGACTCACTCCTGTAATCCCAACACTTTGGGAGGTCGAGGTGGGTGGAATCATGAGGTCAGGAGTTTGAGACCAGCCTGACCAATATGGTGAAACCCCCGTCTATGCTAAAAATACAAAACACATCATGTCACTGCATTCCAGCCTGGGCAACAGAGCGAGACTCCCTCTCAGAAACAACAACAACAACAAAAAAGAGGTAGACCTAGAATTTGAAATATCCAATTCAGCAATGACTCACATGAATCATGGCTTCTGTTTCCTCCCACAGGAAGCTTGTACAGCTGACATCCTGGTCCATGGTCCAGCCCATCCTACCCTCTTGTCCTCTCTGATCACACTCCAGGGCCTTTGTTTAGCTGCTGCTCACCTGCCTCACTTACTGCCTCCATGGTAGAGCTCAGGGGACCCTAGAACTCAGGATGAAGCAGGACCCTATGTGTATGTTTAAAAATTGAACCTGGCTGGTGTGGTGGCTCATGCCTATAATCCTAGCACTTTGGGAGGCCGAGGTGGGTGGATCACCTGAAGCCAGGAGTTTGAGACCAGCCTGACCAACACGGTGAAACCCTGTCTCTACTAAAAATACAAAATTAGCTGGGCGTGTTGGCCCATGACTGTAATCCCAGCTATTTGGGAGGCTGAATCAGGAGAATTACTTGAACTCGGGAGGCTGACGTTGCAGTGAGCCAAAATTAAATTGCGCCATTGCACTCCAGCCTGGGCAGCAAGAGTAAAACTCCATTAAAAAAAATCATAATAATCTATGTTTTCACAGAAACAATGTTCCAATAAGGAACTTGTACCTGAACTTTTGAAACACAACCATCTATAAATTGGGAATTTAGTCTTTATTATAGTTGAGAGATTCTACATTTAGTCCTTGTAGAGTTTTAAACCATTTGGAAAGAATAACCACAGGATTTACAAATGCAGTGTTATAGCTCATGGCAACCAAGAGAGTCCCTATTCTAAATCTCTCATTCTCTTTTTTTTCTTTTTCAATATCCCAGGTCCTGCTTTGACCTCATTTTCAGTTGAGCAAACTGAGACCTGGGAGGTAAAGACAGTTTCTCCAAAGATAGGGCTGAATTATGCAAGGTAGTCTAAGTGCTGTAACAAGCAATACCCAATTCTCAGTGATTTACTCAACCAGTATCATGGTTCAATGTGGGTCACGGGGAGAGCGGGAGAGGGCACTCTGTTTCTCAGAGACTTCCTGGGCCCATCTAGAAGCTCTGTCTTTTCTAGGGGACTCAGAGTGAATCCTCTGAACCTGGCTGAAGATGAGGGAAATGAGAGCCTAAGAATCGCAAGGGAAGATCTGGGCCACATCCAGAAGAGGCATTCCTAACTCTTCCTAACACATTCCATGAGTTTGCCAGAGCTCAGTCTCACAGTCCACCCGAATGCAAGAACAG